TTGAATTCTCTTTTATAGTTTTAAAAAAATAAATATACCTGGACTAAAATTTGTACAAAAGCAAGATGGCCAAGTGATGCAGCAATATGAAGAGGTGTTTCATTTTCGTGATCTTCAAATCTATGATTAGGATTGAAACCTATTGCTAAAAAATTAGCATTACAATATTTAATTTTTTTCAAAAATAAAAATCATAAAATAAATAATATGACATTTTAAAATTGATAAATAATTTAACATACCTAACATTTGTAAGAATTTATCAATATCGCCTGTTTTAATTGGGCCATAGAAAGATTTTATTGTGAACCGCATATTCATTTTCTCTCCAGACATCAATGATAATAATGATTGTTGTTGAAGTTTGTTGAGAGAGAGACTTTCTACATGTATAATAAGAAAAAATAAATAATCCAAATTTTATATTAATTTAATTTTTCTACAGAATTAGTTACCTGATGGAGAAATATTTTCAGATGATTCATCAGAATTATCCAGTTTACAAATATTTTCATTTTTCTCCTCTTCATTTGAAGATAAGTATTTCATACCTGATCTACAATTAAAAATGCATTAAATTGATACTATAATTATTCTGGTAAATAATACACAGTTCTGTACATTAGATCCTAAAGCATATATGAATTATTCATATATGATAAATGTTGCAAAAAATGTTTTAAATTTAAAAAGTAATTAAAAATGTAAATAAATATGAAACATCAAATTATTGCTTGAAGTTATACTGGATGGTTGTAATTAAAGTATCTTTATTCAAAGCTGCCAAAATAAAATTTAGCATTCCAAATGCAATCAAATCTAGTAAAGTGGCATTTTAGGACCAAAAAAAAAAGACATTTCTGTAAAAATAATTACTACCAACGCTCACCAATATGGCAATTTTGGCACTGCAAGTAACAACATTTTATTTGTATAAGATGGTCATATCAAAGAATACACCAAACCCAAACTGCCAAGACACTGATATGTGTATTGAAGCCTGCCACATTATTCATTAACTGTAATAATTGTGGTAACATCTTAATACTTGTAAAGTGATCTGCATCTTCAACTTCAATGAGGTTAAACTCCTAGATGGCCAGTTTTTTCAAATCCTGTGATCACTCTTCTGAGACCTTTAAAAATAATGGTCCACAGCATAAGTTCTTACAATTGTGGAGTTCTCAAAATGCAAGCACAGCATTGCTGTTATTTTCCTTAAACAGCTTCATAAATAAGGTGAATTCCAACAAAGTGATAGCAATTGAAACTGATAAGAATGACATTCAACATTGTGATCACACATAAAAAGTCACATTTTTATACCTATAACTTTGTTGCTTGAACATTTTTATACCTAGTACAATACACATGCTTTTTTTGTTGCTCACAGCACCAAAGGTGTCATAGTGGTGTTTTGGTACAGTCTTTTTTTTTTTTACAGAAATGTGTTCTGTATGTCTCGAAATGCCACCATAATAAATTTGGCTGCATTCAGACTTAAATATCTTGCTAAACAGTATTGAATAAGAATACTTTAATTACAATCATCTGGTATATTAAAGCAAATATTCTAAATTATTAATTCAATTTGCATCTTAGTTGAATACACTTCTAATAGATTTTTTTACTAAACCATTCATTTAAATGTCATAAATATTAAATGGGACAATTTAGAATTGTAAATAAATATAAACTATAAGTTTGTACTTATTCATCTACTCAATTAACCATACGAATATGAATATGTTACAAGATAAAATTTACAAAAGTATACATAATAAAATAAAAAAAATAAATGTTATTAAATTAACATCTGAAACTATAATGTAAAGATAGAAATTATTGATAAACGAATAAAATATAAGAATTAAAAAGTATTTTCTACTGGGATAAACAGTTAAAACTGTGAATTCATTTTATTTGCTTGTTAAAAATGTTTTGTATTTCAGAGAGATCATTCACAGATAAAGAATAATTATAAATTCAGATTCCCAGTATGTTTGAAGAATTATAAAGTACTTTTATAAAACTCAATCAGAAGATTCTTGACTAAAAATATTAAATTCAAATATTAGCTCTCAGAATTTTTTCAGTTATTTTAACATTTAAAAAAAAAGTTCTTCATTAAAAAATAACTTACTTGACTAAAGATTTTTCTTTTAATTTGCTTGGTGAACGATGAATATTTAACTCTAATTTAATCTTCCGAAAATTAGACTTTGCTCCACAATGTGGACATTTTTCACTCAAACCATTGACAGATGAGATGCAATGACAATGAAATAAATGTATCTGGCACCGAGTTTTCCTTTGCAATATGCATTGTGAAAATGTTCCCTATTAAATATAATTGAATACTTTATGAATATTTTTAAAAATTACTAGTGAAAAGTTATTAAATGAGAGTAGCCTTTTAAATATAAAATTAAAAATCGATATATTTTTAAGAGTCACTTAATCAAAAGATAATTTTTCTACTCTCTATAAGTTATATGACATTACAAATCTAGAAATATTAAATATTTCTTAAAATACAAATATAAAAATTTGCTTTCATCTTTTGAATTTAGTCATCAACAATTTATTCATTCACTACCATCATTAGAACATCATTTTATTTTACTATTAATGTTAACTATATGGACTTTATGTAATAGTAGATAACTTGTTAAAAATCTTTATTTTCAAGTATTAAACTATTTCCAAGAAGTAAATTTTATGGAACTGCAGATCAAGAGATAGAGTACTGCAGTTTTTCTAATGCAATCCTCTGTTCAGTATGACTTCAAAAGAACAGGATAGGAAGATAAAATTAAGTGAAATCATTGATAAAAATTTACTTTTCTTAAAATAATTCAAAACTAACTATATATGATACTGTATCAGTAATTTTCATTACTTGTATAGTAGAGTAAAACTATAATTAACCTATAAATATCACTCATTGTAATTTAGATTTCTTAACAGGCAATTTTGTAAGTTTCTTTATTGTCATTTTGTATCACATAAAGCATTTTTGACTACTATAACTTTTACCAGCAAAGTTATTATTCAATTATCAAACATTTTCAGTTTCATCTCAGAATACACTGAATAGAAAAGAACATAGAGGTAAAAACAATCTTTTTCTATATTCTTAATGTTTTACTTTTTTGTTTTTATATTGTCTACCTGGATCTCGTTCATAAATAGGACTCATTATACCAGTGTGGTTTTTGATTTGCAAACAGAAGAAGACTTAGTCAAAATATCTCTATTTTCACCAGATGAAAAGAAAGATATTTTAACTAAAACTTTGCAAATCAGAAACTACACCAGTATAATAAGTCCTATTTATAAATAAGGTTCTCAAGTAGACAAAATAAAAACAAAAAACACAGAAAGGAATACACAGTTTTGAAATTAAATAAAATACACAATTCAAATTTAAATATTTCTTTTTATGTTCTGTTCTATTCAGTATCCTGAAAATGGCTACTTGACAGCAAAAAAGTAAACTAGTAAAAATTTGAGTGATTATACTGTATTATCTTTTTTATTATATATTTGTTAATATTAATTTATTATGTAATCTTATTTATTAAATGAAACTGTAATAAATTGTAACTTTGGAATTTGTATTGTAAATTGTAAAGAATATCATTCTTTATCTTTTAAATGAAGTGTTTTCATAATCAATCCACATATAGTTATTTAAACTTTTACTTTACAAACAGAATTGTTTTTTAAATTAAAAAAAGCTTTATATTAATTATTNGTACTTGGAAACGCTTAAATGGGAAGTCCTACCCCACCCGCCGTATTCACCAGACATCGCCCCTTCGGATTATCACTTGTTCCGATCAATGGCACATGGCCTGGCTGAGCAGCACTTCCATTCTTATGAAGATGCCAAAAAATGGGTTGATTCTTGGATAGCCTCAAAAGACGTGTCATTTTTTCCGACGTGGAATTCAAATGCTGCCAGAACGATGGGAGAAAGTAGTGGCTAGCGATGGACAATACTTTCAGTGACGTGTTTATTACAACTTTTTTAAAATAAAGTGTTAATTTTCACAAAAAAACAGTGAGAAACTATTCAAGGTCCTTACAGTTTTCTATCTTTACCTGTAGCATGCATATTTAATATACATTTATATATTATTTATTTATTTATGTACATATCATACCTTTATTTTAATACAAAATTGGTTTATTATTATTAAATTTTATCATTATTTAGAAAATTTTTGAAAATATGTTAAGATATGTTCTTGACAGTTTGAATTTGTATACATTAATCTACATTATATGAATATATTGAATAAATTCATTAAAAATCTTATGAATTGATAATTTATTGAATATTTTACATATGATTGCCTAATTACAAAACTCAATTATCATTTCAAATTTACAAATAAAACTTACAATGGAGTATCTCCACGAATATTAGCAGCTCCAAGTTCACAACCAACATCCAGAAATAATTGAGAAATGTCAACATTTCCAGAATATGCAGACCAATGTAGAGCAACATTCTCTTCCTAATATGAATATATATTTAATGAAATTTTAAAATATGTATGGAAATTCATTAATATGTATCATATAAAACACAAATCTAATAACACACATATAGTTATAAATACAAATTTTGAAAATCACAAATATAATCAGAGCAATTCTTAAGTTAAATTAATTACAAAATTAAAATACTTAAATTAAAAATTAAAGCTTTTAACTTGTATATTGAATCTCTATAAAACATACTTGTAAAATTCACAACAAATGATTCTGACATTCGAAATTTTTCAATTTTATTATTATTGAAATGATCTTACTTGAACATTAATATCAATTCTTCTTGTGTTTAATAAAACACTACATATTTCACTATGTCCATTCTGTGCTGCTAAATGTAAGCAAGTCATCCCATCTTCACTCTAGAAAATGGATAATTGGATGTGAGATATGCTAAGTGCTTCAAATATGTATGTACTAAACATGTTATTAAATTACTTACTCGTGCATCTAACTGAGCACCAGCTGCTAAGAGATATAAAACTATAGACAAATGATTATTTTCTACGGCCAACATTAATGGAGTAAAAAGCTCATTATTCATATGATCTACCGATGCTCCAGCCTGCAAAAGAAAAATAATGTAGCTATTTCTACTTGTAAATTTCAGTATATTACATAAATTTGATTATATTTGAACATATATTGTAGTCTTATGTGAATTATTTAACATAGCTGTATCCTTTTTCAAAATTTAAACATTTTCGTTAAACTAAAAACTATTAAAACATTATTTTTAAACATCAAATATTAAAACACAGATAATGATCAAAATTTACACAGTTAGATAAATTGAATGATGTGTAATTTATCTATTTTGGATGCACACTTATAGGAATTAAATGGCCAAATGCCAAGTAAAACTTATTTATGCATCCAAAAATAATTAAATGAAAACAACAAAAAAAAACATTTAAAACATATTTTATTTATTTTATTTTTTACATATTGTAATATTCCTAAATAATTAGTTATTCCCTTTTAACAATAACAAAAATATTTACTAAATAAGGCAAATTAAAATTTTAAAAAATATATAAATATGCAAAAAATTTGTATATTGATTTATCTTTTAAATGCAGATTAACCTACAATTACATGCAGTTTTTCCATACAAGTGCATGTATAATGGGCAATTCTCACTGATTTTTCACATGTAATTACACTGCACATAATTGCCAATCCTAAAATTTGACAATTCTGAAAAATCACGTGATGTGTATTCTCAGCAAATGCCTAATTTCAACTAACACTAGATTACAAAACTCTTCAGATTAAAATAGAGAACTGCTTTAAAAGCTCTCTAATTTGTCTGAATACATCATTATGTATCACTGCAAAATCTTATGCATGAACTAAATGTATTTGTAAAGTTTTAAAGTTAGAACTGTTAATGTAATGAAATTTGATGGTTAATAAAATTACATAAATGTCTAGCAGGAGGTTGTGTTAGAACTAGTTTATGAAATTAAACAAACAAGAAAGAAGAAAAATACAACAAACAGAAGTAAAAAGCATCAAAGAATAGTAACAGGATCCTATATTTCTTTTAATATTATAACATAATAAAGAAATATTACTTTGTACTACGTTTAAAAATTAAAAAAAAAAACATGAAAGAGAAGAAAGTATTGAATATATGAATAAGATAGAAACTTAAATGAAATTCTAACAAAAAACTAAAACATCTTGTTGGGCATATTTTAAATATTGTGCAACAATACAGATGTTTTCAGTATTTTGACCGATTTCAAAACCAGACCAAGTCAAAAATATTGAATACATCTATAGAATGTTGGGTAAAGACAAATTCAATCAGCACACATGCTAACCCAATACTATGAGAATTAAATCACATTTCAGCTTTAAGAGTTAAATCTAATATGGAATTAATACTAAGTTTAGCTTAATTCATTATTTAAATCTGACTCTAGATTTAACTTTCAAAATAAATATGGCCAAATTGAAAGATAACATCTAGAAACAAATAAAACCATTAAAATATAATTAAATCATTGATTCTTTGAAGCAATTTGAGAAATCTAGTCTATTCTTAGCAGTATCAGCAGATTTGGTGTTTGTCAGATAACATTTAATAAAAACATATTTGACAGTGCTTACTGACTTTTAAAATGAAGAGGTGTTAAACAACAATTAAAACAAGTAAGCAATAACAATTAAAGGCAACTAGCAAAGAAAAAAAAAACAAAAAAATTATTTATAAAAAATACTACTGTAATGTTTCCATTAAATTGAACAAGACCTTTTACAACAGTACGAATTTGTAAGAGAAGTTAATGATCAAATGTCATCAAAAGATTATATTTAACAGTTAATAATGTTAATTTTACTTTGTATTCACATATAACAGAATTACATGTAATTTAAAAAGTATGCTTTCTTGTTATTAAATTAAAAATTTATATAGCATTCACATGTTTTTAATAAAAATTTTGTTTTCACATTTTTATAATTTTTTATTACTATTATTAAAAAAAATGAATATACCTGGACTAAAATTTGTACAAAAGCAAGATGGCCAAGTGATGCAGCAATATGAAGAGGTGTTTCATTTTCGTGATCTTCAAATCTATGATTAGGATTGAAACCTATTGCTAAAAAATTAGCATTACAATATTTAATTTTTTTCAAAAATAAAAATCATAAAATAAATAATATGACATTTTAAAATTGATAAATAATTTAACATACCTAACATTTGTAAGAATTTATCAATATCGCCTGTTTTAATTGGGCCATAGAAAGATTTTATTGTGAACCGCATATTCATTTTCTCTCCAGACATCAATGATAATAATGATTGTTGTTGAAGTTTGTTGAGAGAGAGACTTTCTACATGTATAATAAGAAAAAATAAATAATCCAAATTTTATATTAATTTAATTTTTCTACAGAATTAGTTACCTGATGGAGAAATATTTTCAGATGATTCATCAGAATTATCCAGTTTACAAATATTTTCATTTTTCTCCTCTTCATTTGAAGATAAGTATTTCATACCTGATCTACAATTAAAAATGCATTAAATTGATACTATAATTATTCTGGTAAATAATACACAGTTCTGTACATTAGATCCTAAAGCATATATGAATTATTCATATATGATAAATGTTGCAAAAAATGTTTTAAATTTAAAAAGTAATTAAAAATGTAAATAAATATGAAACATCAAATTATTGCTTGAAGTTATACTGGATGGTTGTAATTAAAGTATCTTTATTCAAAGCTGCCAAAATAAAATTTAGCATTCCAAATGCAATCAAATCTAGTAAAGTGGCATTTTAGGACCAAAAAAAAAAGACATTTCTGTAAAAATAATTACTACCAACGCTCACCAATATGGCAATTTTGGCACTGCAAGTAACAACATTTTATTTGTATAAGATGGTCATATCAAAGAATACACCAAACCCAAACTGCCAAGACACTGATATGTGTATTGAAGCCTGCCACATTATTCATTAACTGTAATAATTGTGGTAACATCTTAATACTTGTAAAGTGATCTGCATCTTCAACTTCAATGAGGTTAAACTCCTAGATGGCCAGTTTTTTCAAATCCTGTGATCACTCTTCTGAGACCTTTAAAAATAATGGTCCACAGCATAAGTTCTTACAATTGTGGAGTTCTCAAAATGCAAGCACAGCATTGCTGTTATTTTCCTTAAACAGCTTCATAAATAAGGTGAATTCCAACAAAGTGATAGCAATTGAAACTGATAAGAATGACATTCAACATTGTGATCACACATAAAAAGTCACATTTTTATACCTATAACTTTGTTGCTTGAACATTTTTATACCTAGTACAATACACATGCTTTTTTTGTTGCTCACAGCACCAAAGGTGTCATAGTGGTGTTTTGGTACAGTCTTTTTTTTTTTTACAGAAATGTGTTCTGTATGTCTCGAAATGCCACCATAATAAATTTGGCTGCATTCAGACTTAAATATCTTGCTAAACAGTATTGAATAAGAATACTTTAATTACAATCATCTGGTATATTAAAGCAAATATTCTAAATTATTAATTCAATTTGCATCTTAGTTGAATACACTTCTAATAGATTTTTTTACTAAACCATTCATTTAAATGTCATAAATATTAAATGGGACAATTTAGAATTGTAAATAAATATAAACTATAAGTTTGTACTTATTCATCTACTCAATTAACCATACGAATATGAATATGTTACAAGATAAAATTTACAAAAGTATACATAATAAAATAAAAAAAATAAATGTTATTAAATTAACATCTGAAACTATAATGTAAAGATAGAAATTATTGATAAACGAATAAAATATAAGAATTAAAAAGTATTTTCTACTGGGATAAACAGTTAAAACTGTGAATTCATTTTATTTGCTTGTTAAAAATGTTTTGTATTTCAGAGAGATCATTCACAGATAAAGAATAATTATAAATTCAGATTCCCAGTATGTTTGAAGAATTATAAAGTACTTTTATAAAACTCAATCAGAAGATTCTTGACTAAAAATATTAAATTCAAATATTAGCTCTCAGAATTTTTTCAGTTATTTTAACATTTAAAAAAAAAGTTCTTCATTAAAAAATAACTTACTTGACTAAAGATTTTTCTTTTAATTTGCTTGGTGAACGATGAATATTTAACTCTAATTTAATCTTCCGAAAATTAGACTTTGCTCCACAATGTGGACATTTTTCACTCAAACCATTGACAGATGAGATGCAATGACAATGAAATAAATGTATCTGGCACCGAGTTTTCCTTTGCAATATGCATTGTGAAAATGTTCCCTATTAAATATAATTGAATACTTTATGAATATTTTTAAAAATTACTAGTGAAAAGTTATTAAATGAGAGTAGCCTTTTAAATATAAAATTAAAAATCGATATATTTTTAAGAGTCACTTAATCAAAAGATAATTTTTCTACTCTCTATAAGTTATATGACATTACAAATCTAGAAATATTAAATATTTCTTAAAATACAAATATAAAAATTTGCTTTCATCTTTTGAATTTAGTCATCAACAATTTATTCATTCACTACCATCATTAGAACATCATTTTATTTTACTATTAATGTTAACTATATGGACTTTATGTAATAGTAGATAACTTGTTAAAAATCTTTATTTTCAAGTATTAAACTATTTCCAAGAAGTAAATTTTATGGAACTGCAGATCAAGAGATAGAGTACTGCAGTTTTTCTAATGCAATCCTCTGTTCAGTATGACTTCAAAAGAACAGGATAGGAAGATAAAATTAAGTGAAATCATTGATAAAAATTTACTTTTCTTAAAATAATTCAAAACTAACTATATATGATACTGTATCAGTAATTTTCATTACTTGTATAGTAGAGTAAAACTATAATTAACCTATAAATATCACTCATTGTAATTTAGATTTCTTAACAGGCAATTTTGTAAGTTTCTTTATTGTCATTTTGTATCACATAAAGCATTTTTGACTACTATAACTTTTACCAGCAAAGTTATTATTCAATTATCAAACATTTTCAGTTTCATCTCAGAATACACTGAATAGAAAAGAACATAGAGGTAAAAACAATCTTTTTCTATATTCTTAATGTTTTACTTTTTTGTTTTTATATTGTCTACCTGGATCTCGTTCATAAATAGGACTCATTATACCAGTGTGGTTTTTGATTTGCAAACAGAAGAAGACTTAGTCAAAATATCTCTATTTTCACCAGATGAAAAGAAAGATATTTTAACTAAAACTTTGCAAATCAGAAACTACACCAGTATAATAAGTCCTATTTATAAATAAGGTTCTCAAGTAGACAAAATAAAAACAAAAAACACAGAAAGGAATACACAGTTTTGAAATTAAATAAAATACACAATTCAAATTTAAATATTTCTTTTTATGTTCTGTTCTATTCAGTATCCTGAAAATGGCTACTTGACAGCAAAAAAGTAAACTAGTAAAAATTTGAGTGATTATACTGTATTATCTTTTTTATTATATATTTGTTAATATTAATTTATTATGTAATCTTATTTATTAAATGAAACTGTAATAAATTGTAACTTTGGAATTTGTATTGTAAATTGTAAAGAATATCATTCTTTATCTTTTAAATGAAGTGTTTTCATAATCAATCCACATATAGTTATTTAAACTTTTACTTTACAAACAGAATTGTTTTTTAAATTAAAAAAAGCTTTATATTAATTATTTTATTTTCACAAAATTATTTAATTTCTTCATATTTTATTATATTTTATTTTTTTAAAGTAAAATCTTTGTGATTATTGATAGGATCTAAAAATTTTACAAACTGCTATAATCTGTGAACTATAGCTAGTAATTTGAAATGCATATGCAAATATAAATATAAAAATTGAACTATAATAATATAAATTATGAATATTTTTAAAATTTTAATTTTTAAATAAATAAAGTAAGTTACTTGTGTGCAAAAAATTCCACAACATGGACAACATTGATGATGATGCAATCTCCACATATGAACTTCACATAACATCATATATGGAATTATTGTTGATGGACGAACTAATACATGATTACTGACAATGTTACTACATCCAATGACCTAAAAAAATGTGTAGATTATTTTATTAATACTTTTTAATAACCAATACGATAAGATCAAAATTTTTGATTTAAAACAACTTAATATCTTAAAGGTATTATAATTGAATATACAATAACAACTGTATCATTCATCTCATCAAGGATATTATCTTGATGAGGCAAAATATTTCAATAATTTCAACTAACAAAATTTATTCACTCTAGATCAGTGTCTTACCCAGAGTGAACAAATGTCATCTGTGAACAAATTACATCTGATCACCATATGAAGCATGCAATGCCATTGTTTTCTAAATACATTTTATCGAAGAATTGAATTCTAAATGTAACGTTTTCTGCCACAAAAGAATATTGTGGTGATATTGGCAGTGTAAGTGGTTGTATTTTGAAGATGAATTTATGTGAAAATATAATGTTTAAAGTGCCAGAATGCAAGTCACGTGATTTTTGGCATGTAAAACATGGGCTTATATTTACATCATTTTGGTATTCTGGAGAATTTGTAACCTAGTGAGTATTTTACCATTTTATTGTAAAATTGAAATGAATTCATTTATTAGAAAAAATGTTTTTTAACTCTCCTGAAAAGTTTCTTTTTTGGCATTTACAACATTATGGCATTGCACGCTTCATATAAAATCAGGGGCTATGGAAGAAACTTGTCATGGAGCTACCACTGATTTACAAGTTCAAAGTTATATCAAATTAAATTTATCAACATATTAAGCTTTGAAACAATTCATATTTTTTTCTACATAAATAAATATATAACTTATTCATGCTATTTACAATATATATCTGCAGCTTTGAAGAATAAGGGTCAATATCAAGGACATTCTTCCAAGTTAATTCAATATATATATATATATATATACACACACACACATATTTCTTATTTACATTTTAAACTTCTTTGATTTTTAGCAGAAAAAAATTAGGTGGGCTATGGGCTACTCAGCTCTCATTTCCAAAGCTCCTGAGAATGGATGAACTGCAAACATCTGGCTATAGATATAAAATCATATCCATGTGTGAAGGGAAAATAAAGAGTGTAACAATTTAACATCATTGCTCAAGTCACTAAATCTGAGCTCAAAGGTTATGCAGAGATTCATTATTGAAAAATCTACTTCAAACTCCCTAAGCTACTGATGGTAAAAGCAGATATGGTTATTATATGCCCTCAACAATTGTGAGGAATATGTAAAGAATCAATCAGAACTATGATCCAAATTTAGTGTATATATTTGACCATGAATATTAAATACATAAAATAACTAGATAAATCTTATACTATTACACATTATCAAATTACATTCAATCAGATACAACACTAAGATGCAAATACATTTTTTTTATACTGATCTGCTATTGCCTAAAATGACGAACACAGATATGTATAAAAATACAGACAAATCATAATCCTGCTTAGCATAGGAGAATAGAAACACAACTAAATGATAGATAACAAATAAACAGGAAAATTACATAAACACACACAATATATATGAGGCTGTCCATAAATGATATCAAGCCTCATGGGGAAGATGGCAATTCAGAATGTAACACAATGTTACAAGAGGAAATGAAGGAGAATAATCCTTGCGATGTCATATTTCACATTTATCATTAATTAGTATCAGATGCTTTTTAACACAATATGTCACATTTAAAACATACTCTTTAAAATTTTAGTTTTTGTACTTAAATTTATATAAGAATACCATAAGATAGCAAAATTTAAGTTTGTATTGTTATATTGTTTGTACAGTTAATTTACTATGGCTGGTAACAATTAATCTGTTATGGTTGCGGTAAAATGATTCTGTACAGTGGAATTTACATCATCACATTCACACTATTTGTATGTTACAAATAACCCATCAGTTCATCACTTACAAGTCTGAAATCAAAAGAATGATAAGATAAGTAGCATTATGAGGTCCTGGAAATGTCCTGGAACCACACTAAAATCTAAAAATCACAAAATTTGTTAATATT